GCTCGGGTGTCCCTGGTCTGCTGGGGGGGTCCAGCGGCTTTGCTGGACCCCCCCAGCAGACCAGGGAGACCAGGAGAAGCTTTTCTCGCCCCGGAGGACACGGGTGGCAACCCGCCGCCCGTGAGCTCCGAGGCGAGAAAAGCCCCGTTTGTAAGTGCAGATCGGGCGTAAGTCGGTTCCGCGTAAGTCGGGGACTGCCTGTACTATTTATTTAAATATTTTGGATGTTTTCTATATTTTCAAATATATTGATTTCAATTACAATACAGAATACAAAGTGTAGAATGTTCACTTAATATTTATTTTTATTACAACTATGTGTACTGTAAAAAAACAAAACAAATAGTGTTTTTCAAATTCAACTGGTACAAATTCAGTAGTGCAATCTGTTTATCATGAAAGTAGAACTTATAAGTCTAGAATGAGGTATGAAAGAACTGCATTCAAAATTTAAACAATGTACAACTTTAGAGTGTACAAGTCCACTGAATCCTAGTTGTTGTTTAGACAGTCACTTTGACAAATTGTAATCAAATTTGTTTGAGATAATGCTCCGTGCTTCTGGTTTACAATATCCCACCTGAAAAAGAGAGCAGGCATTCTCATGGCACTGTGGAAGCCGGTGTTGCAAGATATTTACATGCCAGATGCACTAAAGATTCACGTGTCCCTTCATGCTTCAAACCCCACCCAGAGGACTGGCATCTATGTTGATGGTGGGTTCTGCTTGGCAATGATCTAAAGCAGTATGGACTGATGCATGTTCATTTTCATCATCCGAAGCCACCAGCAGAAGGTTGATTTTTCTTTTTTGGTGGTTTGAGTTCTGTAGTTTCTGCATTGGAGTGTTTGCTCCTTTAAGAGTTCTGAAAACATGCTCCTCATCTGGTCTCCCTCAGATTTTCATTACTTCGGATTCTTAAAACATGGGTCAAATCTGTAGCCGTTTTTAGAAATCTCACGTTGGTATCTTTTTGTCAAATGTGCTATGAAAGTGTTCTTAAAATGAACATGTACTGGGTCATCATCTGAGACTGGTATAACATGAAATACATGGCAGAATGTGAGTAAAACAGAATAGAAGACATGCAATTCTCTTCCAAAGAGTCCAATCACAAATTTAATTAACACTTTTTTTTTTTTAAACAAGCATCCTCAGTGTGGAAGCATATCCTCTAGAATAGTGCCTGAAACAAGAAGGTGCATATGCTAAGTATTCATATCTGTCACTGGCTAAAAACGTGCCATGTGAATGCATATTCTCATTTTCAGGTGACTGTGTAAATAAGATTTAGGCAGCATTATCTCCAGAAAAAATAAACAAACTTCTTTGTCTTAGGCCTGGTCTACACTGGGGCTACGTCTAGACTGGCATGATTTTCCGCAAATGCTTTTAACAGAAAAGTTTTCCATTAAAAGCATTTGCGGAAAAGAGCATCTAGATTAGCACGGACGCTTTTTTTGTGCAAAAGCACTTTTTGCGGAAAAGTGTCCGTGCCAATCTAGATGCGCTTTTGCGCAAAAAAGCCCCAATCACCATTTTCGCGATCTGGGCTTTTTTGCGCAAAACAAATCTGAGCTGTCTACACTGGCCGTTTTGCGCAAAAGGACTTTTGCCCGAACAGGAGCAGCATAGTATTTCTGCAAGAAGCACTGATTTTTTACATGAGATCGTAAGTGTTCTTGCGGAAATTCAAGCGGCCAGTGTAGACAGCTGGCAAGTTTTTCCACAAAAGCTTTTGTGGAAAAACTTGCCGGTCTAGACACAGCCTGGGAGTTTAGGTTGAACTTAGCCGCATTAGGTTGATTTTTCTAAACAATTGAGTCCACTCAAACAAGCCTGGTCAGTAGACTTGAAGAGCCATTAAAGTTAATTTCTGTACTCTTTCTTTCACAAGGAGTAACTGCTAAATTTAGTCTAATATGGTTGACTTTCTTGTAGTGCAGACACAGCACTATGAAAGTCAGCGCTATAACTAGGTATTTTTGCATCTGGGGCAAAATATTAATTATGCAACCCGTCTCCTTAGGTTAGCGCACATTACGCTCTTTACTTTTGCAGCTTACTATTTTTACTTATTGCATCTTTGAGTTTCTGATTATGATGTGCCCAGGGCGAGCGCCCTGCTTGGCCCTCCCTTGTTATGGCACTGGTGAAAGTCGATGTTCATGGCCATGGGAGGTGTCCCAAAGTGCTCTGTGATGACTTGTCTGGCTTCAACTTTCAACTCTACTGTTCTCTAGCTGAGCAGGAAGAACTCTGGGAAAAATTGAATATCATTTCCTGTGTGGCCAATGTGGCGAGCACATCTCAAAGCAGGCAGCACACCCCAGAAGCACACGTGACCATGACTTCCATGAGTTCAGTTTCCATGAACTTCAAGAGTCTTTAGTGGCTGAAGGATTTCCCCCTGAGACTTTTAAACATGCAAGGTACTGCATTCAGATGTATGGAGTGGAAATCCAAATAGCCACTCAAGCTCATCTGAAGAAGTGGGTTATTTGCTACTCAATATATTTTCTGTTTGTAAGTATTAATAGGGAAAGGCTTCTGTAAGGATGTGTGTGTGGGGGGGCTCTTTTCTCTACAGAAACACTAAAATATGGATTCTGAAAAGCTAAAGATAGATTTTTTTTTTTGTAAATAGCCATTTATTTAGCTTTTAACATTGCATCTTGTATGCCAAGGACCTCACAAATATTTAAAAGAACAATATGAAAAACTATATTCAAATATTGAAAAAAATAATTATCACACTGTCATGTCAGCATTACTGTGAGTTCACAGTTTATTATTATGTCATAGTCCTCTGTGTCTCATAACCCTCCTCATCAAAAACTATGTGCTTAGCTCTCTACTGCTTTGCACCTTGTCTGCTCATTGACATTTGAGCATGACTTGGTTAAGGTGTGGAGTATTTTGATTTAGCAGTGTTTGATGCTCATTTTGTGCCATTTTTGATCAAGTATAAATAACTATATAATGAAGACTTCTGTGAAGTATCAGGTGCTAACTTTCTTTGCTCTGGCAGGAAATGAACAGTGAGACAATGGGGCCTCTTGTATTCTGTTGTTAAAGAAACCAGACTAAGTTTACACTAGACTCAGTAGAATACATAGCTGGAGTGGTCTTACCTTAAGCTGAGTTTGGCAGCATCCCCACAACGGGAGGCTGATGGAAGCAAATGCTCCCATTGGCTTCCCTTATTTGTCGCAAAAGAACGAGTACTGGACGCTTTCAGGGGCTCCCTCTGAATTCGATTTGGTGAGTCTGAGTCTTAACTAGACTCCCTAAATCGAACTCCAGAAGATCAATTCACAGGAGTCGGTGATCTTCCGTTTAATATAGATAAGGCCTCAGTCTGATACCTGCTTAGGTCAGTTGGGTTTGTCATTGACCACAATGGGTGTAGGATAGAGGTCCCTCCTTGAGGGTTTTGCCATTTCTAAGACCACCTTCCTGTTCCTAAAGCTTTCTGTTGCAGGCTCCTCTCTAGCCTTTCTGATTCTTGCCGTTTTTCTTTTGACAGAACGAGCAGGTTAAATATGTAGATGTTGGTGGAGCATATGTAGGACCTACACAAAACCGAATCCTCCGATTGGCCAAGGAACTGGGTATAGAGACGTATAAAGTGAATGTAGCAGAGCGTCTTATCCATTATGTGAAGGTGAGATTTAAATCTTTTTTTCTGTAAAGACATTTAATGAGAATGTTGAACTTTGGAAAGTACTAGAATTTGTGAAAAGAGTCCTGAGTAATATGCCTCTTTGGTAGTTCAGTATGCATTTATTTGTAATAGATACAGCTATTCCATTTTGATTTATTGGCAATTGAAACAAAGATTTTTTTTTGAATGTGTGTAAAATATATTCAGTCTATAGGTGCTGGGGGAACAAATGACCATTCCTGCCTCTTCTACACCTTTAAACAAAGGGGAACCATGCCCCCACTTTTCTGAGAGCTGGAACTCAGCAAGGGTTCAGGGGCTTCACCAAACTCTTTTAGCATCTGACTGGAAAAGGGTGTCATGACAGTGGGGTGGCCAGGCCATATTTGAGTAGTGTTATAATCCGCTGTTTCCTTTCCACTTTGGCGGCCATTCCAACACCCATGATTCAGTCAGACTGTTACAATTTCAAGACAGGATACATTTTGTACTTACTTTTTTTTAAACTATGCTTTGTAGAGATTCAAGATTTCTGGAAAGCTGTCTGATCTTTTTGCATTCTGATTTTGCAAACTCTTATGAATCTAATCATAAGCATTTACAGCAGCTGTAAGCAGCTTTTTTTTTTTTAAATACATAACCTTGTAAAGTGAGGGCAGGGGGAGGAAATGCCAATGTAGTTTTGAGACTCAAAGAGCCCTACAAAGAGTAAGTGCCAAACAATGAACTACTTTTTTGGCATCAGCCATGTCCACATGTAAACAAAATGACAGTTCCCATGCCTGCTTGGCCACACTACCTGTTTTTTTTATTTCCTTGAAAGTCTCCATAAAGTCTTCTCTGTAAATGAAGTAACTCCAAGATAACTCCAAGTTTCCTGCTGCTTGGGCAAGTAGCCATTTTCACTGAACAAACGCAGTTTTAAGGAATATTATTTCTTTGTTGCTGTAGAAAAACACAGAACAGCTGACAACTGGAAGTGAGTCTTGAGAAACAAGAGTTTCCAATACGTAACTCCTCGGAAGCACAAAAACAGTTTCCTATATTAAATTATTTTAAAACACATTTTTCTAACAACACTCAAAACATGCCATTAATGAAAATAATTACATGTAAATGATTGGCCTAACATTGTTATATAAATATAACCCTGTAGAGAAGATGTAGGATAATAGCTTTATTACTGTGACAAGCGTGTTGTATCTGCTAACTGCACCTCTGACCCCCTTTGATCTCTTTGAGCTCACTTTCTCTCAGCTCTCAAGCCTGTAGCTGTCCCCTCTTTCTTGGAGTGGAAACGTGATTTCTTCACTCTTGGACCAGGACTTAGCTTCAGTCTGCAGTGATCCACCATAATTGATTCAGCAGGCCTGACTTAGCCTCAGACCCTGCAGACCTGTTCCCTCAGCGAGCAGTGACCATAGTCAACAATGACTGGGCAGCTTCCTTAAAGCAAACTGTTATTTAGAACCAAAGCATTTAAAAGAAAAGAGATTTTAAAAACTATAAAACATTCTACATGCATGTCTAGCCTACCAGGCATTAACCATCTTTCACGTGGGGATGAAGGTGGTTCTAAGCCTCTTAAAGGTCCCCCTGAGACCTCAAGGGTTGGCTTAATTTGTTCCCTTAACTCACAAACCGAGCAGGTTGCATACAGTGTTGCTAACATTGTCATCTCAGTATTAGATTATCACATAGCCGCTCCACTTCTATTACAATGCTTACAAAATAAGTTGGACCAGATTTTCATCTTCTGTTAGTTGGTGTCACTCTGACTTCAATCAAGCTATGCTCATTTGCACTATTTGAGTATCTGGCTTACTGTATTTAAATTAAACTCTGATATGGGCCCCTTTGTTTTTTAAATGGCTCTGCTTGTCCTCTGTTTGCCTGTACTTTAATAGGTTACATGAATTCAGACCCTTAATCCATTTTGACACTGCAAACCCATGTTTCATTATGTGTGTTTTAGCTAATGACCATGCTTCTTCCATAAGCTTTCTTTGATGTAGAAGTCTGTTCCTGAATAAGAAGCAGAATTACAAGCTTGTCAAGTGTCCTACATGCCATGGGCTAGACCTGGATTTGGGCTTGCAATCCTGCTGAGCAATCTTTCTTCTATACGTGTCGCTCCTGAAATCTCAGAGCAACAGAAAGCAGATTAGGCTGTTAACACGCCGACTGCCTTAGCTATTAAATAAATAATGCTTACCTTTCATGAATAGGGTTTCTACTCCAGGAGCTGAAAGGCAGAACAATCAGAAGCTTTCTCTGTCAGCTCTTCCCATTCTTCCTCTACTTCATTCAGTGTTGCACTGTAGCACACAGAGCCCACCCATCACTGGTTGTCTCATATAACTGTGGGTTCATCTACTCATGGAGCTGGGAGTGTGATTCCTAGCTCAAGGAGACATACTTGTGCTAGCTCTGTGATTGAATTACCCTGCTAACAATAGATTGTAGCCATGGCTGCGAAGGTGGCAAAATGGTCTAGACACCCTGAGTATATACCATGGGTCTCTCACCAGCACCTAATCAGGGTGGCAAGCCCCTTCTGTCATTTGTAGTGGTTACATTCTATTTTTAATTCATTTATTCAATGATTGCTAGTTGCAAATATGTCTCCTCTAGCTGGGACTCATGCGCCAAACTCCAAGAGTAGGCACATCAATCTCTGATATCCCTCCTGCTTGTGTAAGGCTCATAAACACTAGGACAACCTGACAGAATGGTCTATTTCTTTCTTTCTCTCTGCCAATTCCAGCCCTCATCTGCTTGCTTTCTTCCCCTGCAGTCTCCATTACTCTCTGCCTTTGTTTTTTGGCAACTATTACACTCTCTTTCTTTGAATTCATTCTCAAGATCCATTTCTACTGTGCTGTGTACAAGAAGTTAGCCACCTAATATTGATTAGGTTGAGGGGCATTCAAGGCAAATGTATTTGCATGTTTTATCCCTTTCCCTCTCTTTCTTAAGTTTAGTTGCATCTTAAAATATGAACTCTTCAAGGTACAGACTGTCTCTTCGTGGTTGTGAATAGCAGCTAGGACATCTACTGGAATCAAAACAGTAACAATAATACTTCCTAGAAAATGTAGAGTTAAGCAACAAACTATTTAATTAATACATGAACTATTATGGCTATGAAATTCCTTTATTCACCTGGAAAATATTTGCTATGTAAATTACCAGGTTAATTAATTGTCGGTTGTGGGTTTGCTACGAAGTTCCACATTTGAACAGGAAGGCAAGATTTAAAACATTTCTTCTTAACTCGAGTATAGTATCTCTCTGAGCTAAGAGATCTCATGCTGTTTGTTTAGCTGTGGTTAAACTGGTAGCTCCATTCTTAAGTGCTTGTCTCTAAAGTTCACATTCCAAATGTCATGAGATTAGGAAGGGGAAATAGACAGATTGTTCAGTAAGCCAACTTTAGACTCTGCAGTGATGGTTTCAACCATTCACCGCACCTCACTGCAGATTCAGAGAAATTCTTTTTGTTCTGCAATTTCCCATGAGTTAGGGTGGCTTTGCTCTAGAATGCTTCTTAGAATAATTTAGTTTAGAAACTAGGGGATTTAGCTAGGAAGCAACTAAAGGGATTCTGAGCATTCCAAGACAATCTGTGGACTTTTTTTCTGGGTGAGTAATTTTTAAAGCGTGTTAGACTTATTTTACTTTTAAAGAACCATGCACTTTCACTGGTAGGTGGGTTTCCTTTGCAGCCACTGTTTACCTGAAAAATCCAAGTCCAAACCTGCTTGTCTGTCTTTTCACATTTTTTCTCCCTTTTTCAATAGAAAGAACTCCACTTGTTACCACGTCAGCCACCATGAATCAGAAGCTATTTCCTATCCTGAAACACTAAATATATGTTTGGTTTTGGCATGTCGATTTGGCTTAGCTACTAGACTATCGTTCCAGCAAGACTGTCCTTTTATTGTCCCCATGACTATTAAAAGTGTTTTAGGAATGAGAGGAGAAAGGGTGGCCTCTTCCTTCATAGATTTGGTTGACAGTGTTCTTTTTTGTCTGATGTCTGTTACTTTTCCTGAAAGTCCCGTTATCCTCCATATTCAAGTCCGTTGAACAGGCACCTCTTGAAATCAGATGTGGGTGTCTTGCCGTGTTTTTAAATGAAGCTCCTCTTACAAAATATGCAGTCTTCTTGTGTCTGTTTGCAGCCTTCACACTGGTATACAAAATCAATAGGTGGATCGGGGATTTTTTGTGTGTGTTTGTGTGGTGCTGCATTCACTCAGCATTTTCAGGGCACGTGAACTTCTGACAAATCATGGTCATTTGTATGTAAAGCTCAATGTCTTTATGTAGAACTTTTTCTTCCATGCCAAAGATATGGCTATATTGCAGCGAGGAAGATGCTTTCCAGCTTGGGTACATGGGCCCACCCTAGATTTGCTTAAGCTAGCACGTTAAAAAAAGCAGCATAACTGGGGTAACATTGGTGGCAACTCAAGCTAGTTGCCTGGATACAAACCCATCCATCCTTTTGTGTACACACTTGGGTAGCTAGCCTGAACCACTGCCCAAACTGTCCCTGTCTACTTTTTAGTGCAGTAGCTCGAGCAAAACCAGCATGTTTGTCTACATGTACTGGGAAGCAGGCTGCCAGCTGCAGTGTAGATGTACCATAAGAATAAAAGATGAAAGGGTGTCAGGTGAAAGTCTGCATAGAGATTTGTGAATTGCAGAATCGGATCAAACAATCTGAATGTCCTTGTCCTTTATGCAGGGGCATTTAGGGGCAAGAGCATAATGGCCAGCCTCCAGCCCACCTGTGTGCATTGTACAAGGCCCAAGGATAGTCAGAATGCCTGTATTTAGGGGAGCACAAAGACTGCTCCTTCCAGGAACCACCGGTAGTGCACATTGCCCTATAGGAGGCATGGGGGAGGAGACAGGTTTCAATGTGCACACACCTTTGCCATGTAGATCAGCAGACAGGAGAGTAGGCTGTGCCATTCTCAAGGCTGGTG